GCCTTTCCTTCAGCGGAACCCCCTACACAAGCCTGTTCTACAAACATCCATCTCTCACATCCACCCGCCCCATCTTGTCTTTCCATTGAGTGTGTAAATAAGGGCTCTTGAGATTTATTTTTATTCTCTTTTGTGTTTATTATACTTTGAACAGTACCCCCCACCACTTCCTGGTTTTCTGCCTGAATGTACTATTTTAAAAATGGTTGCTTCTGACCAGGAGGTCACTTTTGTTTCTTCTTCTAAGCAAATTATCTAGTGATCTTGCTGTAGGGTTCTGAGCACTGAAAGAGGCATCTGCCAATATCTGCAGGAGTAGCTTGATAGTTGCAGTTTTGTTTGCACAGCGCTCCCTCAAGAAATTGGCTGCTAACCTAAAGGGTGACAGTTCAAATACAGCAGCTACTCCATGGGGAGGCCGTCGGCTTCCGTAAAGATTTCTGCCTGGGAAATCTTCTGGGATAGTTTTACCCGTTGTTGAGAATTGACTTGATGACAATGGCCTTCGGACTTGATAGTGAATGGCAGTTTCTCCATTATCCTCTGCTCTGGCTATAATAACCAGTTAGGCTGTTTATATTTCAACTTCTTGGTAATCCAAACCAAAAAAAAAATAAAAATAAAAACAAACTCATTGCTCTGGAGTCAACTCTGACTCCACAGAGGATGGAGCAGAACTGTCTCGTAGGGTTTCCTAAGCTGTCAGTCTTCGTGGACACTTCATCTTGGACACTTCATCGTGGACTGCTTCATCTTGCTTTCAAGGAGTGGCTGCTTGGGTTCAAATGACCACCCTTTAGGTCACCAGTCCAAAGCTTTGCCCACTGCACCACCAGGGCTTCTCTGTCTGATTTTGGTTCTTGTTTTATAAGGGGAAAGAAAAATCACCTCACTATCCTCAGGATAGAACTGACCCATAGCTGACCGTGGATTGGGTTTCTCAGCTTGTAAATCATACTAGAGGAGATTGCCTATCTTTCGCCCATGAAGCAGGTGTGGCCTTTAGATTATCAGTTTACCTCCCTATGGACTAGGCCACTAGAGTAAAATGTCTGCTGAGCAGACCCTACAGAGTCCACAGGAAGACGGCCAGGCAGGGAAGAAACAGCAGCTTCCACACACACGGGCTGCATGTAAGGCAGGGGCTGGTTAAAAACTCACTCAAAGGTCACAGCTGTCCCTTGCTCACTAAAATTCGCAATAGGTCACAATCTTCTGTCAGGCTGAAGAAACTGATCAACATGCCAAATACCTGTGAATTTGGTTTTGTTTGGATAAAAAGCATAGGTTACTTTGGGTAGCTCTGTGAGCATCTCAAATGCTTTTGGATGCCAAGTGAGCAGGCGAGGGTGAGAAGTGAACCAAAGAGGCCCATCTACGCCCAGCTGGGGCGCGCGCTCTGTCTCAGGCGCCAGAGTGAGGCTTGGTTTTTAATGGCTTGTGCAGCCCTGATCCACCCACTGAGTCTTGGAGGAAGGGAGCTTTTTCCTCTGCTTTCTCCAAGAACTCATTTACCCCTTTGGAATGGGAGTTCTTGCGAATGTCCTCTTCCTCCGCCAGGCCGCCAGGTACTTAGGCGTGCCTTTTGCCAACTTGCCCACACTCACATCCTGGCCTGCTCCCACCTCTCGGTTTCTGACCCATTTTCTCAGCTCCTGCAAATCGATTTTTCCTTCAACATCGCCTGGTTGGATAGACTCCTCCTCCTCTGATTTCCCACAGGCCTTCTTTGCAGGGTTAGTCCTCCTACCCGCGGAAGATTCCGAAGTATAACTCATTCCAAAGGAGTCTCCTACCTCGGCCACACACACCTGCTGAGTCAACATTAGGAGGGCAGGAGAGAGGAAAGGAGGAAATCAAACTGGCTATCAATTTATGAATTACAAGTGTGCAGAAAGTCTTTGTGAGAGCACAAATCACAACCACTTTTCAAACATCAGATGTTGATGTGCCGTCTGTTATAGATAGCTGAGCAGGTTATTACACATCATCTTCTTACTTGACTTCATTATAAGCTCCTTGGACTAAAAAAGCTTTCCTTGTAGTTTCTTCACTCTC